CCCTCCAGTTACAGACTGTCATTTTTCCAGCTGCAGTGACTAGAGAAACATGATCTGTGCTTCATCAGCTTCTGTGGGGTCCATAGGTGACAATAGGGGTCTTATATACCCCAAATGTCTCCATAAAGAGAACCTGTCACTTCCTCTGTGCCATCTCATAAGGGGCTTGTTAGCCCCCCTATTTAATAGCAAATAAAATATATATATATATATATATTTTAAAAATAAATGTAAAAATAAAGTAATTTTTTTTTTTAAGTCCCCCACCCCCATGAGCACCGCGTCTTCACGTAAACATGCATCTCGTGCGCCTACGTCCGAAAACGATGATCACGCTACAGATGTTGGGTATCACCGCGCACGCCAGAGTGAGAGCAACAATTCTAGGGCTTAATTCTATCTCTAAACTCCCTTTTCACTCCCTTTGGTTGTTTTTTCTTCGACTGGATGGTCCCTGGGTGGGTAGAAATACCTGATTAATTATGCCCCTAAATGTTCGGGGACTTAACTTCCAGAAAAATGCTCCAGGCTGCTCAGCGGGCGTCCATAGTTAATATACTACTGTCTGACCATGCTCCCCTCCATCGGACATTGGATCTGCTGATGCAGAGATCCACGTGTTTCTCATGGAGACTCAATGACTCTTTGCTATAAGACCCGTTGATTAAGGCTCAGAATTAACTTCCCAGAGATTTTGACCATGGTTGACTATGACTGCTGCTACTGAATATTTCTGTAATTACTGATCTCCTGGAAATGTTTAAATATGACATTGTAGAGTTTACAAAAAACAAACCAGGGAGTGGCAGCTCTACTGGCATAAATGCCTTGTTGATGTAAAAACCATGGCAGTTTCCCCTCCTTTCAGCTAAAAAAAGAAAGCCCAGGCTACAGTGGATACAGGCTGACCAAAACACGACAGGTGAACAATGGAAAAATGTAGTCTGGTCTGATGAATCTCGATTTCTGTACAAAGATGTTAGGCCAGTCACTGGATCTGATTTCAATAAAAACAACTGCCACTAAAAGGCATTACTCAAGTTGCTCATGGCTATTCTGATATTGTCCAAGATACTCTATTTTGAGTCACTCAGAAAAAGTTAGAGTTTCTTCAATTTTAAATTTTGAAATTTCAGAACGGTCCTATTAACTTGTATCTGGCACTGGAGGCACTCTCCAGGCAATGTTAAAGGACATTCCATGCTTACCAAGTTCTAGAAACAATGGTCCATCACAAGCATTACATCCTGCCAGCTGGTATCTTCTCGTAGTTCATGCATCTGCAGTACAACTCCTTAGATTTCTATGGGGGTTTCTCCCAAGGCAGGAAACACTTGGGTGATGGCGCATGCACATCTATAGCGCATGCACAAATTGTGGCAAGACGTTCAAAGCCAGCAGTATGTACAAATAATGGTGGACTGTGGCTTCTGTAACGATGCAGCTGTGTATACTGGGTGTAGTTAATGTTGGGAAGTCAAAAAGGGTAAGTATACTTTTTTTGAAAGCATACAGGGGCTTAAAAAAATACTTTGTAGGATGACAATGATCATTCACTGTACATAATCTGTGGTGGAGCATTGCTGACATCCTAGGACATAACTAAGGACACCGCTCCTCTTCTCTAAATCATAGAAGGGCAGGGTAACTGAAAAGTATGTAGCACAGTCAGAATGCACAAAATGTTACCAGGTCACATGATTTCTGGCAGAATCAACAGGTATTTTTTGTATTTGTTGCATATATATATATATGGCGATTTTAATGGAGTCTAAACTTTGTACAGTCCATAAAAAAGTTAAAGGAAACAGTTTAATGTGCTGAAACAGTGCATTACACCGCCCATCCACCGGACCTCACTCAGCACACTAGCCCGCATGCTAAAACTCGGTGTAGTACAAATGAGCTCATAATCCCTAATAAGTTGATGTACCAATGATGATGTTTAAATATATTGACCATTCAGATATATTTACTTTAGTAAGATCATTGAAAAATACATTTGGATATATAGCCATCAGGATTTAATGTTCTTTGCACCAAGTTTGCCTTGCTGATTAAGTTGGCGCATGTGACAAATGTTTACATAGTTTTTCTCACTGATTAGTCTTCTATAGCAATTGTACTTGAGTTACATTCTTGCGCACAAACAAAATAAAAATGTACTTTTTTAGGGCACTTATGGGACAGGGATGAAACAAAAACTAAAGAGACAGCCATTTAAATGTTCACAATGCAAAAGGAAAAGGATAGATTGCTTTTAGCTATCATAGAATACTTGCAGGAATGTTCATGTAGCCTCTTACAGAGCTTGATTTAAGCAGCCCATCTATCATTATTTGATTCAGATCAACATGCATGATTTTTTTAAAACAAATTTCTAATTTGCAGGGAAGGGAATACTGGCATCTGGTGTCTGTTTGAACAAAAGGTCCTCATTATAGAACTGACTTCCCTGATTCTGTAAAATGCTGTATAACTCCTGCTGAAGCACTTTCAAATTGGTCTTCACTTCTCCTATAACCCTTTCCACATCCTCTCGTTCCCTGTGCAGTCCTTCTCGCTCTGTTCTCAACTGCTCTATTTCTCTTTCCAAGATGACAATGTTCTCCATTTTGCGCTTGCGGCAATTTTGAGCAGCGACTTTATTCTTCCCGCGTCTACGAATGTCTCTAACCAAAGCCAGCTGTGATTCTGTTAATGTGTAGTGTGACAGAAGTTCATTAAACTCCTCTACAGGTAGATTGATGATTCTCTCTATAGGAAATGGAATTTGCATAGTGACTGCTCTTCGCTCATCCCTACTGCAGACCAGTTCTTGCGTTCGAGATGTAATGTAGGTTTGGGTTTCGCACATGTTGTGTTCCATAAAAGACTGTGTGAAGTTTGTAGCCATATGATACTGGCTTTGATAGACATGTGGCGTAATTATTTCCATAAAGTCTGGCTGCATCTTCTGCGTATCTATGTTCTCTATTTCAATTGATTCACCATCACTGAAGTTCAAAGATAAGCCAGAGTCTGTTTCAAAATCATCTTGGCCTTTACAGTGCTGGTGTAGAGAATGGACACCATTTACACAAGCATCTGGCATCGCTCTATGATCTGGAGCACTCATCCCATTTGTAGGTACAAGCTTTGAAGGATAGTGATTAATGGCACCAGTTTGAGAGACATTTGACATTAACATTCCTGTGTAGGACGTTGGACCATATTCAGAAACCAAGGAAAGAGTAGGAACTTGCTGAGCTTGTGGAGAAATGGGTTCCAAGTGAAGTCGATCAAAGTTTGGCATGCCTTGGCTTACATTTGGCAAAATACTATCTCTCGGGTTATTACCGAGACTGTATCCAAAAAACTGCACTGCGGGTGGCTGACATCCATATTCAGTATTATATGCAGACTCTGGGTGCATATCCAGCCCCTGAATAAGACAAGAAAGAATAATAAATATTTGTCCATGAATGGCTTCAGTTATGCAAGTCATGGGATAGCTTGCAGTAGTAAGTCAAAAACAAAGGAACCTTTTCTTGAACATTCACCACTGCACTTGCTTGTGAGCTAAAGCATTTTTAACACTAAACAGCAAACATAACTTGTGTTAACTTGCTAATAAATATAGTATATAAATAGACGTTCTTAAAGTGTTTCTAGAGCCAAAAAGTTTAGTTTTTGACACTGTGGGCAAGGGTTAGCTACCCTGTTAAGTTTGTATTGCTGACTGTTTTCCAGCTGGGAAGATTCACTCTCTCTAGTTGTCCTAGTAATCATTGTTACTGAGTGAACTTTTAAAATGTTTAATTGTCTCCAGAACAGGAAAAGAGGAACAGTCTTCCAATGGGGACTTTTTTTAACATAACACCAGTCTAAGAGGGGATTTAACTTTGAAGATTTAACCTCATACTTGTTTATGGGACACTATGTTAAGAGAAAACCCTTCCCTATCCTATCCAAATCTAAAACTAAAGTTTTGACTTTAAATATAATTAAAGTGCACTTTCAGCCAATTTTTTTCTTTATTTCTGGATAGTGGGGAAGAGGGTTTTATTTTGTTGTCTTCCCAATTTTAGCGTGAGTAGGAAGTAATCAGTAAACATGAGATAGAGGTTCTAACCCTTTTCCACTCTATTCATCAAAAACAAAGATTTGGTTGGATTTACACTTGAAATATTTGATTTTCTATTTTCTTACCGTCTGTTGTTTCTGGCCTTATTTAGGTCTGCTTTTGAATTCAGAAGGAAACCAAGAGAAGAAAGGATGGCGAATGTTTCACTAATGTACAGTAAATAACAACATCACTTATGTATAGGGTGTTTTAGTAACATTCTGAAAGATACATTTTAAATTAAGATGGTACTGTGGAGAAATAGCTGACACACAGTTAATTTTCTTTCCAGGAATCGCTTAGAAAAGTGTTTCCCAAGCTTTGTTCAGTTGTGTACCAGAATGACAGCAGCATCTCAGTGCCATATTTACTGTTAAAAAAATCGTTCATTGTCCATGTCCATTGCATTTTGTAGTGACGTGGGGGTCAGCAGGTGGAACCACAGTGTTTGACTTGGAACACACTCTCCAGTAAACCCAGAAGTGTTGGATAGTAGCATCACCTCTAGTGATAGTGACAGGGTTGCCCAAGTTAACCAAATTTAATACTTAATTTCTGATGGGACATCAATTGTTCGATTCATCCGCTGGATTCCTCAGTGGCAAAAAGTCCCTCCTTGCATCTACTATGAAGTAAACCAAGGCTGTTTTAAGATGTAATAAGCTGGTTTTTCTAATCTACTATCTACCCAAAAGTGATATCAAGTTTTTGCGTGGCCCTTCCATTTCCACTTACCTGTAATTCAGTAATGGACATGATCTCTTGCCAAGTTAGATCCATGTCTCCTTGAGTGCACTGTTCTCCCATTTACAGAAAAAATGTTCCAGATTTGGATCTTATGTAGAGGGTTCGGAGCATAGTAAAGTTCCACAACCAGGAAAGCTCACAGTATTTTTCAGTATGCTGTGCCTTTGATGAAAAGAAAAGTTGCAATTATTAATGTTTCATTTTAACTTCCCTACATATAGTTCACATACTCTCAAATAGTCTCATGTAGTCACTTTCCCTGTCTAAGAGGATGTGCTGTCATTGGTGGCAGGGAGAGGCGGGTGTGTTTAAAAAAAAAAACAAAAAACAGGTGATTATTTGTGCAGAGACTATATAAAGCTTGATAATACACATCCATGTCCATAAAGACCTGTTTTAACCTGTTTGGTGTGAAGCAACTTGAGTAAGCTACATTTGTATTGCACACCTTTGGGATGTATTGAAACGTCAACTGTGAGCCAGTTTTTTTCATCCAACATCAGTACCTGCCCTCACAAATTCACACTGGCTGAATTTGCACACAGGCACACTCTTATGAAAAGCCTTCCTAGAACAGTGGAAGGCTGGTCTCAGTGGTTTCTCCAGTCATCCTTTACATTACTTCAGGACACAATAGTGATGTAGGGGTTGGCAGATTGAACCTCTGAGCTCAGCAATGGACCAGGTAATTGACATTCGTAGAAGTGTCAGATTCTAAAGAGTCTTTGGATAGCAGTTTCTCTTCATTATAGCAGAGATCAGCGGCATGGGCAGTGGGTGAGAAGACTATTTACTATCTTCTTTTCAATAAGAGCTTTATTTTATATTCTTATTTTAGCAACAGAGTCATTTTGAGGGAGAAAAGACCCCCAGTCTAGTAAAAGAAAGAGGACGCATGGTTACTAAAAATTTGAATACCCCATAATGAAACCTGGATGTTGAAGAAGGAAAAACTATGTTCACTGTTTTATTACACTTGGATATACCGTACTGTTACTGTCCATAGTTTCCCTTCTATAGCCATTGCACTTTCCCTCCCTTCCTTTGTATGTGCTGCACTGACTAGATAACACATTATCGGAGGACATTCACTCCTCCCGGCGGTGTGTACTAAGAACATGTACTTTCACATTCTTTGGGGACCAGTTGTTTAAGGTGCCTTTTGCAGAGCATTCAGTATACATGCATTATATCACTTATATCATTATATCAAGAGAAAGATGATAGGAAAAGTTGTGTAATTTAAAGTTTTTTAAAGTGCGAAACAATTTATACCACATAATGGTCAAAATTCAACCTAGCACTAGCAGATATCTTTTGTTTTGAGTATGAAATGATGGAAATGACTTGGATTGGAGATATATTTTAGGGTACACAAAACACCAATAGTGTAATAACTTCCCCCTAGCAGTCCAGGGAAGTTTCTCAAAAAAGCTCCAAATATTAAACACACCATTTAAAGAGAACCTGTAGGGATTATAGATTTATAATAAGAAATGGACAGAAATTCTAAAAATACTGTTTTAGTTTGTTTAATGTGAAATGTATAATTAATACCATTTTTAATTGTTTCATTTAATAATTACACTATGTGTATGCATGTTCATGTTCATGTTTGTTTGCATGTGTGGGGGGTTAATTTTTGTTTTTATCATTTTACATTTGTTACACATTTGTAACTTTTTTTACATTTACTACTATCACAATATATCCTCTTTATGGAGACCTCAAGATCAGTAATCCAAAGCAGATCAGGGATGGAGAGTCCCTCATCTGTTTGTACACCTGCCCAATGTGCTGGGATTTCAGCAATGTAGAACCTAAAAGTTCTTAGAGCTGAGTACTTCTGGGTTTATTCTGTTCCCCACCTCCTCCACCCACTTGGCCATTCTGAAAACCTCTGTATCCTCCAAGAATCCCTGACACACAGAGTAGTCAGGTGAGCCTGGGACCAAAAAGGAGGGGAACAGGAGTGTGCCACCATCTAAAGGACACTTAGAATTATACAAGCACCTCGATCACTTTACATTAAACAGAGAAGAGCTACTATTAACAGATAACAAACCTATGGTCACTATTGTTGCCGGGGGTCTATTTTCATCCTTTCACTGGTCTGCCGTAACACAATGTGGCAGTGAAAGGGTTAATGATGTCAATCATTTGATGGGTAACCACTCAGCATGGTCAAATCTTAGGGTCATTCTACAGCACCCTGAAGCCCACAGAGTTATCTTCAGAGGGTGCTGCAGCTGCAGAAGGGGGGCTGTAATAAACATTCTCTTTGCATGGGGAACTTGCCAGTAGGAAGTTAATTTACAGTGGGGGTCGAGAAGGGGTGAAGGTGCAATCTGTGAAGCTGTCATCCTGATCCTGGCTTCCTTACCCAGTGAGTCATGGTCACTGGAACACACAGTAAATGCAGAATGCCAGTTTTTAGACTCCACTGGCTGCTTGCTTGCTCCTGGTTACTAGGCATAACTAAAGTTAGTTTGGTGGATGCCGTGGGTTATGGCTCTGCCTTTTTAAACAAGTCTGAATATATTGCGGTTTTAAAAATGACCTCTCTTGTGTTATTTGGATTGTTTGAATTTCGTCTTACTGCTTTACTGCTTTGCAATAGACATTACACTTCTGTGGTTAATTGCTCCATTTCCTTTTTCCAGTTTCAGACTGACCAGCTTACTAGATACCAAAGCAATACTGGAAATATCAGAGGATATTCTGCATAAACACAGACGGTGGTCTGCAGTAGTAGCTTATGCAGAAACATGAGAATACTTGTCACAAATATAAGAAGTCTTATGATCCACCATGTAAAGTGGCTTTCAAAAGTATTCACCCCCTTGGCATTTTTCCTATTTTGTTGCATTGCCACCTGGAATTAAAATGGATTTTTATTTGGATTACAAAATAGTCAACAATAATGAAGGGAAAACAAGAAAATAACTTGTTTAAAAAAAAAACTGAAAAGTGGTGCATGCATGCGTATTTACCCCCTTTGCTAAGAAGCCCCTACATAATATCTGGTGGAATAAATTACCTTCAGAAGTCATATCATTAGTTAAAGACCACTTGTGTGCAATCTAAGTGTCACATGATCTCAGTATATATACTCCTGTTCTGAAAGGCCCCAGAGTCTGCAACACCACTGAGTAGGGGGCACCACCAAGCAAGCAGCACCATGAAAAGCAAGGAGCTCTCCAAACAGGTCAGTTGTGGAGAAGTACAGATGAGGGTTGGGTTATAAAGAAATATCCAAAACATTGAACATCCCACAGAGCACCATTAAATCCATTATTAAACAAAAAGGTAAAGAATATGGCACCACAACAAACCTGCCAAGAGTGGGCCAGCCACAAAAAACTCACAAACCAGGCAAGGAGGGCATTAATCAGAGAGGCAACCAAGAGACCAAAGATAACCCTGAGGGAGCTGCAAAGCTCTACAGTGGATATTGGAGTATATGTCCATAGGACCACTTTGTGCCGTGCACTCCACAGAGCTGGCCTTCATGGAAGAGTGGCTACAGAAAAAAGCCATTGCATACAGAAAAAACTAAGCAAACACATTTGCTGTTTGCCAAAAGTCATGTGGGAAAACTCCCCAAACATATGGAACAAGATAGGTCAGATGAGACTATTGTGAACTTTTTGGCCTTCAAGGAAAACGCTATGTCTGGTGCAAATACAAGACCTCTCATCACCCCAAGAACACCACCTGGTTTGGTGGCAGCATCATGCTGTGGGGATGTTTTTCATCTGCAGGGACTGGCAAACTTGTCAGAGTTGGAGGAAGGGTAATGGCGCCAACGCTCGAGTGATTTAAAGTGACATTAAAGGCAAAAAATGTTTCCCCTCCCCCCCCATGTAAATGTTAGCACTTACCTTAAATGATGTCTCTTTTTCCGATCTTCCTCTTCTTTCCCCATGTTTTCCTCTGTCCCTCCAGCGGTGTGACGTCACTCCGATCCAGCGCTGACTGCCCTGTCTCAGGAAAATGTCACTTTCGGCATTTAGCCGAAAGTGCCATTTTCGGCTGGCGCCCCCCCTTCACTTTTCGCCCGGTGCCCGCTGCTGCCCCCCCCGGTTGTTACGCCACTGCACCAGAGAATCCCATCCAACTTGAAGGAGCTAGAGCAGTTTTGCCTTGAGGAATGGGCAGAAATCTCAGTGGCTAGATGTGGCAAGCTTATAGAGAAGTACTCCAACTGCATGTCCCGGGCTTCGGGCGATTGGAATTCCACACCCCTGCTGCCCCTCTACCCCCTGCTGCCCCGAGGTTGGGCCTTGTTGGAAATCTGGCCCTGCCTTTAGTATTCATGCTCTGCAGCAATGGTTGCACAATGTTTGTCAGGGTGGGTATCCTGATTGTGACAACAGTGGACCTTGCCTGTGCAAAGTATGTTAGTATGGCAGGCTGTAGTCTCTATTTATAGAGGGTGTTACAAGGTGACAATGAAGGAGAAAGACTTGGAGACTCAGACAGTCACTATATACCAGTAAGCGTCTGAACATGGACCTTCATGGCAGTATTATCAGGCATTTGAATAAAATGTGCAGGTTTTGGAATGCTGAAAATGAATTCAGAAATTATGTGAACATGATAAAGCTTATATGAGATTTTAGTGATTGGGTTTACTTTAAACACAGGGAAAGAAAGAGGTGTTGCCCTTAACCCTTTCACTGCCAGTAACAAGGCATACATCACTGAGCTGCTGCCAGATCACTTGCAGGGATTGGTAAAGAGTATGCCCCCCCCCCCACCCGACACCCCCGCCTTGCTTCCTGGGCTCCACTGCCCCTCTTGCAGGCCCGGGACTGGCATCACAGGTGGTAGAAGGGAGAGAGACCAGTGAACATCCATTCACCAATCTCCTCCCCGCTGAATGGGGCCGGAAGCTATGCTGATTGCATCACTTCCGGTTCCTCAGCTGTCATTCCCCGGCTAGAGAAGCCAGGTAAAAAGCTATTCAAGCACGATCTGCACTTGAATAGCTGCCACTTAGGTGACACTTGGGGTCTAATAGACCACTAATGTCACGTTAAAGAGTACCTGTTACCACCCAATATGCTGTC